TGCTCATCCAAACAAAGCCATTCAATCCGGAGTATCTGTTTGAATTCAAAACCCAACAGGTATGATACCTGTTCAATTCAAATCAAAGAGTCACCTTCACATCTATAAATAGGACCACCCTCATTTCATATTTTGGATTCAGAAATTTCGTATTTCACTTCTGTTTTCTATTCTTCATTTTGCTGCATTATTTTCTTGTTCAGAGAGAGTATAAACACTTAGTGTGTTCGTAAGGCAAACAATTTGTAGTGCTGCTATTGTTTGTAGTAGATCATTTCATCCTGGGAGATAGACGTCCAAATTCTGAAAGCACCGTGGAGAGGACGAATCTGTCTTAAGGACACAGTGTCAAACACTGGACTTGATCAGATTATAATTCGAAGAAATTAAATCAGGTAAGTTATTTAATTTATTTTCAATGTTATTATTATTTATTTAAATAAGATTTTAATTTTGTTTTTGTAACAAAATAAAATCTGTTTTTATTTTTTTATTTTTATTTTTATTTCGAGTTTAATTTTTGTAATCAAACAAATTCTCTCATTTCCTTTATTTCTTTATATTCTAATTGTTGTTTAGTACACAACATAATTTAATTAATTTAAATACAGTGAAGATTGTCCAACAAGGCATTGGTCTCCATGAATGTGTAGATCAATCATTATTGGGCTAGATTATAATACTTTTTCAAAAACGATTACAAGGTTTTGTAATAACAATGAAGTTGGTTAGCCAGATTGTGAGTATTTGTGATCCTCACAACATTGTTCTAATGTATGCAATTTTTTGGTTGGTGGTATGTTGAGCATACAATTTGTTCTTCTTTTAGCTCTTTTGAGACTAATTTTTTAAGGTAAAATTCGAGCCAATCATAATTTTCTACTTTAAGAGTTAAATTTATGTTATTATTTTGGATTTTATAATACTCTATTTATATATATATACATATTGTCAGTGTCAAACGTCTATTGATAGCTTGCTTTGATAGTGCCATATTCTTTTTTTTTTTACTTTAGAAATGGCATGGTGGTACTCTTAATCATTGGATGGAAGAGTACAGAGTGGAAATAGTGGTGAAGTTAACAGTTCAAGTGGACAATCAACGTCTTGAAGAAGCAAGGCTCACTGATATTGGAAGATATATAATTCGGTTAGTGTATATATGTTTTTACTACTTAAAATTTCTTCAAAATGTTGTAGTTATTATTTATAACACTTTGATATATTTTTTTTGATCAGCGAAATAAAAGATTTTATTAAGAAACTGAAAATGAAGTGCAAATAAGGCAAGGGAATAGAATTGTATCATTGTTTAGAAAGACCGCTTCCCAATGTGCAATTTCCCAGCCACAAACAGAGTCCAGATCATCTGCCATACTTTCCTGCCGTGGTATACAAAACGACGTCGTTTTGTGTTAAATGACGCCATTTTATTTAGTTTTTTTTTTAATTCAAAAAATTCATTTCCTTGTTTCCCCCCTTTTCTCTTTCTCTGTATCGTCTTTCCCCTATTTTCTCTTTCTCTGTATCGTCTTCTTCGCTTTTGCACCATCTATTTGAGGTGACTGAACCCTAGCAGAGAGAGAGAGGCATCGTGAGAGGCGACTGAAAAGTCGGAGTGAGGAACTGCAAGAGAACTAACGCGAGCTGAGAGAGGAAGTGAGAGACGAAAGAGATGGCGGAGATGGAGGAGCAGCGCAATGGCGAGCAAAGGATCGTGGGCGACGGTGAGTCCGGCGGCGATGCGATGGCGGGAAGGCGACATTGCGGCGACAGCGAGGTATATTTCATCATCTTGCTGTTATATATTGATTCATTGATGGTTCTATATTGATTTTAGGCATTGAAATCTAAAATGTTATAAATTGATTCATTGATTCAGATTTTATTTTTTAACCCGTTGAAATGTTATTCAGATTTTTAGATTCGGACATTTCAGATTTATGTAATCTGTTAATTCAAATTAACCCATTTCAGATTTTAATCTGTTGCGTAGGTGTAATCTGTTAATTCAAATTAACCCATTTCTGATTTTAATCTGTTGCCTAGGTGTAATTTGTTAATTCAAATTCAGATTTTAATATATTTGATTCAGATTAATTCAAATTTGATTCAGATTAATTCAAATTCGATTCAGATTTTAATTCAAATTGATTCAAATTTGATTTAGATTAACCCATTTTAATTCAAATTTGATTTTAATATATTTGATTCAGATTTTTATCTGTTAATTCAAATTACCTATGCTTGATGATTTTTATCTGTTAATTTTTATCTGAATTTGATCTATGAACTGTTTTTGCAATGAGATCTAAGAGAGTCCATGAACTGTTTTTGATTCAAATTAACCCATTTTAATTCAAATTTGATTTTAATATATTTGATTCAGATTTTTATCTGTTAATTCAAATTCAGATTTTTGAAATCAATTAATTCAATTTTTTTCATATGAAATGGGTTCACTAACTGACATGGGTTCAGTCACTGAAGTAGGTAAATTTTATGTTATATATATATAAGTCAAATGTTTTCATATGAAATTTTATGTTCTATATATATAGTTAATCACATTGATCTATTTTCACATTCATACATTAAGTTGTGGATTCATATAATTTGCCTCTATTATATGGTTTATATATATGAAATGTAGGTAATGGAAGAAAGTAATATTGTTGATGATTGTGGTTGGAAGCCGAAAGTGGGAATGCCATTTGACTCTGAACAAGCCGCATATGACTTTTACAAAACGTATGGGGGAAAGGTGGGCTTTAGTATTAGGAAGGCCTATGCAAACAAGAACAAACATACGAAGGAGATAATATCACGTACGTTTGTATGTTACAAAGAGGGAAGTCGGGGTATTGACAAACGAGATCCACTTGTCAAAAATCCAAGACAAGAGGTAACATGTAGTTGTGGTGCCCGATTTAGTATATATCAAGTTAGATAGAATTTCAGGAAAATATATTGCTTGTGATTTTGTTGAACATCATAATCATGATGTTGTGCCTCAAGATTGTATTCATATGTTGCCATCTCAAAGAAAAATATCTACCACCCAAGCAATTGAAGTAGAATTAGCTTCACAATCTGGAATTCCTCTTAGGTCTGCTTATGAACTATTTGGTAGGGAATCTGGTGAAAGAGCATCACTTGGTTTCACCAAATTAGACAAAAAAAATTACCTAAGATCGAAGAGACAAAAGATTTGGAATATAGAGAAGCAGGTAGTGTGTTGCATTACTTTCGCAAGAAAACTGTGGAAAATCCATCTTTTTTTTTTATGCAATCCAATTAGATTATGATGAGCAAATAAGTAATATATTTTGGGCTGATGCTCAAATGATCATGGACTATGCTCAGTTTGGTGATGTAGTGACATTTGACACTACTTACAAACTAAATAACGAGCATAGACCTTTGGGATCATTTGTTGGATTTAATCATCATCAAGAAACAGTTATATTCGGTGCAGCATTGATGTATGATGAAATTGCTGAATCTTTTACATGGTTGTTTCAAATTTTTTTGGAGGCAATGTCAAACAAAGCTCCGAAAACTATTTTCACAGATCAAGATGCTACGATGGCTAAGGCCATTCCAATTGTTATGCCCGATACAAACCATCGTCTTTGTACGTGGCATTTGATGCAAAATGCTATCACACATGTAAGTTCTGTTTTCGATGATGTAGGTGTCAAGGCTGTGTTTTCAAAATTTATGCATGACATTGATGATGAAGAAGATTTCCGAATACAGTGGGACCAAATGCTTGATAAGTATGATGCATTCGACAATCATTGGTTGGAGCAGACTTTTCACGTGAATGAAAAATGGGGATGGCCATATATTATGAATTCTTGGGCAGCTGGAATGAGTACTACTCAACTTAGTGAACCCTTTAATGCATTTTTGAAGGATTATCTGAATTGTGACCATAACTTGGTGGAGTTCTTCATACATTTTGAGAGGGTGCTCTATGAGAAGAGGTATAAGGAATTGGAAGCCGAGTACAATTTGTCCCAAAAATTGCCGAGGGTTTCAATTCTAACTTTGATGTTAAAGCAAGTGGCAGAGATTTACACGAAAACAATTTTTGAGGAATTCCAAAATGAGTATGTGCAGTCCATTGAAGCATCCATTATAGGCACTATTAATGATGGTGAGAGCACCATATTCACAATAAAAACAATGGTTGATGGAAAAAAAAAATAAGATTGTGACAATGGATAGAGGGGGTTCTTTGAGTTGTAGTTGCAAGAAGTTTGAAGTGAAGGGCATACTATGTTGACATTGTGTCAAGGTGCTTAGAGATATATTCAATGCAACGGAACTTCCTCCACAATATATACTCAAATGATGGACTAAAAAAACAAGGGCTGAACGAGTGAAATATAGACGTGGGTATGAAGTGAAAGCTGATGTGAAATTACATCAGAGTGACCGATATCGGTCATTAATGACCATGTTTAGAGCAATAGCGAGTAGAGCCGCTGAAAGTGAAGAAACTTATCAATTGTTAGTTTCAAAAGGTGAAGAATTGAGTGTAATGGTTGAAGACAAATTAAGTCTCCACATTTGTGGTCAAGTGGAGGTAACTGATTTGAGAAATTCGTCAAGCAACGCATCTCCACAGAGTGATGAAGTAGATTGTCCTATCCAAGCTAAGGGACTGAAGAAAAGAGAGTCAACTAGTAAGGGAAGAAGGAGGATTAAAGGTGGAATGGAAAAATCTATTGCAAAGAAGAAAAGGATGCAATCTATTCAGGTTTGGACTTGAAAAATTGCATATGATTAAACTAAAACATTACAGTTTTCTTTTAAACTAAAACATTGATTTTATTTTAGTAATGACCCACTTTCATTAAGGTTTTTCGTTGTATGTAGGGTGCCGCTGATTATACTCCCCAATGTGAATCTCAGCCT